TACTATGACGCTCGCTTCAAGCCAACTGATAAAGGTATTGCTGCATGTATTTTACTTTGGTGGGTCTCTCTGTACCCAAAGAAAAAAAGCTTCCCTTCCTTGGTGTGGTCTTACTTACATTTGTTTCAACTGCGCTTCGATTCTATAACTTATAGACGTCACACGACCATCGCATGCACGACATAAGGTTGTATCTCTTATAGGTCATTGTCTGACTGCAAAACAAAACATTCCTGACTTACATACGACTACCGGCTTTTGCTACGAAACTTTGCACCAGTTCTGGTGTGAAACTTTTACGGTGATTGCCTGACTGACTACCTACGACTACTGGCTTTTGCTGCGAAACTTTGCACCAGTTCTGGTGTGAAACTTTTACGGTGATTGCCTGACTGACTACCTACGACTACTGGCTTTTGCTGCGAAACTTTGCACCAGTTCTGGTGTGAAACTTTTACGGTGATTGCCTGACTGACTACCTACGACTACTGGCTTTTGCTGCGAAACTTTGCACCAGTTCTGGTGTGAAACTTTTACGGTGATTGCCTGACTGACTACCTACGACTACTGGCTTTTGCTGCGAAACTTTGCACCAGTTCTGGTGTGAAACTTTTACGGTGATTGCCTGACTGACTACCTACGACTACTGGCTTTTGCTGCGAAACTTTGCACCAGTTCTGGTGTGAAACTTTTACGGTGATTGCCTGACTGACTACCTACGACTACTGGCTTTTGCTGCGAAACTTTGCACCAGTTCTGGTGTGAAACTTTTACGGTGATTGCCTGACTGACTACCTACGACTACTGGCTTTTGCTGCGAAACTTTGCACCAGTTCTGGTGTGAAACTTTTACGGTGATTGCCTGACTGACTACCTACGACTACTGGCTTTTGCTGCGAAACTTTTGTGGTGATTGTCTGACGACATACCATTATGGCCTCTTGGCTACAGAAAGAATGAGTGAGTAAGATCAAACTCAGGATGACAAGCTCTTACTAAGGCGGAGAAAAATACTACAAGAACACGTTATCAGTCTTTGCTGTCAGGCGTTTACGTAAATGACGAAAGAGGAAACCATCCGCCCAACGTTGAAACTCGAGTTAAAGACCGCAAACGTTACCTTAATTTTTGGGTTCGTGGTTTTCAGCCGTAGCGGTTAGAAGTTTCCGACGGAAAGCCTGTTTACTCGAAACTTTCTATCAGGTCTGTTGTAAACTTTTTGCGGAGTAACAGTAGGCACGGCATACAATGCTGGCGATAAGCATGAGTCTACACTGAATTTGGGGTGATTTTGCAGAGGAGACCACACGTAGATCGAGCTTACTCGTTATGTTGTTTATTCTTAAACTTTATTTAGAACGAGTTTTTGTGCACTAATTCGCAGACGGACTATATTTAAGAGTGCGTGGGCCGGCTGCAACGCAGGCTAGTGGGAAGGGGCCTTCGTTGGGTTTTCTGTTGTGTTTAAAAAAAAATTAAATAAAAAAAATCTGGAAAAACACGTTAACCACTTCATTATCTCGTCCCAGGAAATTTGTACTTTATAGAAATCAGATTAATTGTGGTGTATTGAAATTCTTCCCCAATAGCATGTGAAGAAGGTAAAAAAAGAGGCTGCTATTCCAATATATTGAGCATTTATTGTTTTGGTACCATATCTATATCGCTAATACATGTGTTTTTATCTTTGTTGTTAGGGCTGGTTCGAATGAATCTTTTAGAATCTATACTTCCTATGTTTGAATATGATTACGTCAGTGGTGACTGTTTTTCGATATCATTAGGGAGATTAGGGAAGACGTTTTTGAGCGACGTACGGACAACCGGATGTGGAGGTTTTGCATTCTTGGCCAGTGGTTTTGCCCAAATTCTCTGGTTAATCGTCTCTTAAAGAGTGATGACACTTAGCAATACAAATTTAGTTGCTTCAAGGCATATAAATAGAAAAAAGCCTCACTTCCGGTTGACGTGTGTCGCTCAAAAAACACCTTTGCTTGAGCTCCAGTAATATTGTTAACGACGATGTAGTTTACAAGGGCGGATTTAGGGGAGGGCCCAGGGGGCCCCGCCCCCTTTTGTGGTTTATCAAATATTTCAGCATTACATGTTCAATATAGAATCTAGGCATTTGCCAAATTTAAGCGTCCAGAATGTACTAAAACGCATCTCAGAGAACTCCAATCTCAAAAATTTCCCCGGGGGAGCATGCGCACGAAACTCCCTAGAAAAGTGCGCCGTTCGCGGTCCTGATGGGCGCTATCGCGCCCATATTGCCACTGTATACTATATCTCTAGGCCTCTTCTACCACAAAATCCTCCGCCCACCCCTGGTTTATGTGCGAGCGTGGAAAGCATAGTCCCCAAAAAATCCAGTCCAGCAAACTTAAAAGAAACTGGTGCAGCAAAAAAAATGAGCTGAAAAGAAAATAGGCAGTTGCAAAACAAAATCAAGAATTATAAAATTTAACTGCATCTTAAGAAATAACAAGAAGTACCCCAGTCACACGTTTTGAACAGTACCACTTCGAAAGGTAATATTGACGTTGGAGAAAATTTTTCCGCATGACTCGAAATACGGATCATAGAAGCACTTCACAAAAGACAACCAGACTTTTCCCACCAGCCCCAAAAAAATGAGCCAAGCACGAACAAATGGTGTGACAAGCCAAACAAAAAAGAAGCTTATCACTCCACACGACAAACCATAGATAAACGATAACGGCCCGCCAAACAGCAGCGTCAAAATGCTATACGTCAAATTAGAGGTATTGGCATAAACGGCTTTAGTGAACTGGTACGAACACTGAGGACTATGTGCTGCAGGGGGCTCGCATATCACATCGGAATAGGCAACCTACAAATAAGAAAACAGAATTTACCTGTAATTTCTTTGACTAAGGTAAAAGGGATCTCTATACGAACGAAAGCAATAGCAATGCACGTTTACTTAAATAGAAAATGTAAGTCTCTTTTTTAGGGTTTCCCGCCCTTTTTGAAGTCTGGCTTGTGACGTGGAATCACCAGCTGGGGTGTCCCAATTTTTTTTTTTAAGTAAACTGCGACCGGTCCACAAACAGATTCACCACTTATAAGATAACTGATATAAGATAACATTCACCATTTATAAGATAACTGTTCTTTGATAAGTGTTCGTCTCAGTATGGTCACTTTCTTATTGAACGTGATCTTTGGTTGCTGGTAATCGGCTTGATCAAGCGATGGTGTGCAGGACAATTAGTAACACTGTTGTTACTAGAGATTGGTGCATTACGAACCTCACTCATGGCTGGTGGACATCACCAGATACCACATTTTGCAACGACACGCCGGGAATTTCGACTGTGGAATACTTTTGAACGGCTTTGATTCAGACGCCGAACTTTTCATGTAGCGAACCTAATGCATAAATTATAACAACGTATTTTGCAAGCAGTTTCACCAAAATGAGTATTTTTCTCCTCTTGAATTAAGTTCGGCTGGAATTAAGATCGGCGTCTGAATCAATTCAGGTGGTCTAAATAGTTTGGGTCGGTCTTAATAGGCCATTTGCACTGAGAGGTCATGTGACATCATTTTTATGAAAATGAAAGTTATATGATTTTGCCTACGAAAAACGATTAGTGGGCCATATCTTAAACGAAATAATACTGATTTGGTTTTTCAAACCCGCAACATTTTCTTAAAATGAGTAAGTTCGTAGCTGGTCACGTGACCAAAATGTGATTTTCAAAATTCTGAATTGCCTCTTTTTGAAAACAAATTTTGCACTTAAACTTTAAGGAAAATGTTGAAAAGATGATGTGGTAACATTTACAGCACATCTAAGCGTAACTATCAAACGTTTAACACGATACAAGCAAAATGTAGTTTTTACCGCCATGTTGGCGGGCTAGAGTATGCCCTCTAACATGGCGGCCAATGCAAATCACACTACTTTGTTGAAAAATCGAAGTGCAATAAAATGTCTCCCTTAGATGAGTTTCCTCTCACATTTCGGGTGTAAGATAATTTTTATGCGCTCTGTCAAGTTTTGGCATCAGCAAGATTTCAACTCATTGTTTAAAGGAAGCATTGGTTGTGTGACCTCTCAGTGCAAGTAAAGTGGCCTATTCGGCGACTTAGGTTCGGCTCATGAAAAGTTCGCGTCTGAACAGGGCCTTAGTGCTTCTGGTTGGCTAACCAATCAGAAAATTAACACTACCCACGCTTAATCAAGCTATATTATATAAGTATAGGTAATCACATGATTTCGAGTGCAATTTGGAATAAATAAGCAAGAGTAAATTTTTCAAAGACCAACAAAAGTGCACAGCCCGTAGGGCGAGTGCACTTCTTTCTCAGCCAATCAGAACTGAGTAATTTTTTCGTTTATATTATTAGCTATAAAATCATGCTGTCCAATACTTATTGATTGAAAAATCTCGAAAATGTAATCAGTATGCTACTTGTATTTAGACCTCTTCATTTTTATCAAATGCAAATTCAGTATTTCTTAAACAAAAAGAGCACGTGTAGTATATGTTGTGTTACTTTCGGTACTTTCGTACGTTTGAGTTCAAAGGGGCACCCAACGAGAATATAGTTCAAAACCACTTAAACATAGCATTGTTGAACGTGCTTTAGTATTTAAACGGTAGATATAGGCATATTTTTATCCCCTACAAATTTTTCATCTGTCCTAGCTAAAAGTACGAAAATTATAGAGATCAAAACTTACCTTTTCGAAACTTTTAGCAAGAAAAAAGGCTCCCGAAAATTCTCGGTGAGCTTTTTAGGATAAAAATCTGTTAAAAATGGGCTATTTTACCATTTTCTAGATGTCGAAAATTCTAGGAGAGGTAAGTAAGCAAGAAATTTTCCAACAAATGTTCCGAAAATTCTAGATTTGAAATCGTCTTCCTAACAGATATTTTCCGACCGCTGGATGCCCCTGAGTTCAACCACGTTTTCAGAAATAAACTTATTTGCTGAAACTGCCCTTAGCTGATTGCACTGAATGTTTAACGTATACCCACTTGTCAACGTTTTGTATTTGCGTTCGCAAACAGAATGACATGATTTAGAACCACGGCTTTATTAGGGTGTGTAACGCTAGCTTTTCTTCACTTAGTGTGTACCTGGGACGTCTTTGCTCATTTCAGCGGGCAGCGAGAGTGAGAATATAGGTTTCTGATAAACATCCTCTACTCTTGCCCTCTTAATACGTGTAGAAAGCAAAGTATTTTTTTGGTATTTCCAGCCCTAAGTGATTCAATGACAGCTTGAACTTTTTTAGAGAAAACATTATGCATCAGCCGGGAAAATAATCTGGGTCAATGCTGAAACCACAGTATCCTGATTCAGTCTGTTCGGTCACATACAGTTTCATGGGCTAGAATTAATGCTTCAGCCATAACAGGCCTACTGAACTTTGGCAAACAGTACAAAGTAAACAAGGAATCGATATCTGGACAACCCGTAACAGGAACGCGGTGCGTGTGTTTTATTTCAGCCCACATCTTTACAGCTAGAACGACACCATAACTTATTCATCGAAACCGAAACAAAAATGCCGTAAGTATTTTGTCTTACCTGAATAAAGTCATTGTTGCCCCGTGGATCTCTGTCATCCTGAAAATCTTCCTGTGTTGGTTGACTCTTCATGTCTAACTCAGGCAAAAGACGTCTTGACTAAAAAGTCGATGAAGCCTTATAAAAGAGATTTTCAGCAAGACACCGTTAAAAATGGAGCTAAGCCCTAATACAAAAGAACTGCGACTTTTACATAGGCGTGGGGGCTCAAGGAAATTTTAACCTTGTTACAATCCGAAACCAAAAGCGACATATTGTCCCGTGCCCAGCCATGCGCTATTTAACGCTTTCACTTTTCTTGTGGCCTGTCTAAAGGTTTCCCAAGCTAATGGGATCGAGTAATATAATATAATTGGACAGGAACATATATCGTCTCACCTTCCGAATACAGTATTGTTAACTATTAACTTTCCTCTAACGGCCACGAGAAGAGAAGAGAAGAGACTCTTTTCTCTTCTGGTGACCGTTAAATTGAAATCCGAGATCATCTCCCAAGGAGATCGAGAGTTAATAGTTAACATGACAATATTAGATACGTGAGACGAAACTTGAGCGTCTTATTTACGACGCGCCAGACCAGCAAACGCATTTGATAACCAGCAATCTTAACCGTCTCTGATCGGATTCAAATCATGATCCCTTCCAAAACGACTCATAAAGACACAGGAACAAAGGAAAATGCATTTTATTATTTTATTAGCTAATACAGCGTAAATACATCTAATTTTTTCTAGTAGCTAATACAGCGTAGCGTTTGGGCACCCTGTGCAAATAACCAGAACTACCATAGTTCTTCAGCTTTTCGACTTTAAAGTTGAGTTCCATAACTATCATAATGATTTTATCATAGTCCAAATGCATATGTTTACAGGGACGGTCCGGTCGATCTTTATACAAAACCGTACCTGTAATGAGGGGTAGGGAGACAAGATAATGAAGGTTAAAGGTGTTTTCAATCTTCCCAACACTATTGAGGTTAATGCTGATTGGTTCCATAACCCTAGGCAAGAATCGAAATTTTGTCAATGAAATATTTCGGAACACAGTGCTTGCGTTTTATTTTAGTGCAGAGTAATGTTATTTTCGTAGGTAGAAAGACCTAGAAATGCTCCAAGATCTCCTTGTGCCAGGAGTCCTGGTTTACGCAACAGGACGGCAGGAAGAAGCTTGTGTGTGACAAACGTGACAGGGCTATTACAACTTTCGAGTTTTATCGTGATCTTCACTTATATTACCATTAATCTTTTCTGGTCTTTTACAAAATATCTGTTTAAAGAAAAATGAAAGCTTGGCGGAAAGTTATTTGAAACAAAATTATTGCCACGCTTGTCACAGAAGGTTTGCCGTGTCCTTTCCTCTTCCGTCCTGTTTTTTCCGTGTCAAGACCGTGACTGTGAGCACGCTATGCTCAAGATCACAAAATTAAGTTTCCCATGATCGAAGAAGAGTACCTTTGAAATCTTTTCCCAATATTCTAATCCAAGAAGGTATACATCCAGAAACTTGCTTTATGCCGAGTATTTAGCCCGTGTTAGACAGTGCCCCTGAGTGGCTGCGAGTCAGACAAGCTATATTTTGTGCGCAACGACATTTTCGTGTCCCTAGGCACTTGGCAATTGTAATCGAAAGTAAAATGCCTTTAGGAGATTAAAATATTACCTTAAGGAAGTCGTTGTTATTTCCAGAATCTCTGTCTTGGGTTTCTGGTCCTCCAAGCGGTGTTGGTTGGTCGTCCTTTTCCTTCTATGACTTCGAAATGTCGATTCGTATATTAGAAGGAAGTCTCCTTCAAGTGGATTAAGGGACCATACGTTTATTACGTCCCAGGGGGCGGCGGGGGTTTTCAGAAATGTGTGGTGTATCAAAACTGTACCCCCCCCCAAATAATTACATATGATAATTGCACCCCCCCCCCCTTCCTTGGCAATAACAATTTTTAATTTTTTTTCGTTTTTACTTTGAGTTCCATAACTATCATAATAATTTTATCATAGTCCAAATGCATGTGTTTACAGGGACGGTCCGGTCGATCTTCATGATACAACACCGTACCTGTAATGAGGTGTAGGGAGACAAGATAATGAGGGTTAAAAGTGTTTTCAATCTTCCCAACACTTTTTCAGATTAATGTTGACTGGTTAGATAACCCTAGGCAAGAATCCGAATTTTGTTCATGAAATATTTTGGAACACAGTGCTTGCGTTTTATTTTAGTGCAAAGTAATGTTATTTTCGTAGATAGAAAGACCTAGAAATGCTCCAAGATCTCCTTGTGCCAGGAGTACTAGTTTACGCAACAGGACGGCAGGAAGAAGCTTGTGTGCGACAAACGTGACAGGGCTATTACTTTCGAGTTTTGTTGTGATCTTCACTTACATTACCATTAATCTTTTCTGGTCTTTTACAAAATATCTGTTTAAAGAAAAGTGAAAGCTTGGCGGAAAGTTATTTGAAACAAAATTATTGCCACGCTTGTCACGGAAGGTTTGCCTTGTTCTTTCCTCTTCCGTCCTGCTTTTTCCGTGTCAAGACGGTGACTGTGAGCACGCTATGCTCAGGATCACAAAATTAAGTTTCCCATGATCGAAGAAGAGTACCTTTGAAATCTTTTCACAATATTCTAATCCAAGAAGGTATACATCCAGAAACTTGCTTTCTGCCGAGTATTTAGCCCGTGTTAGACCGTGCCCCTGAGTGGCTGCGAGTCAGACAAGCTATATTTTGTGCGCAACGACATTTTCGTGTCCCTAGGCACTTAGCAATTGTAAGCGAAAATAAAATGCCTTTAGGAGATCAAAAAATATTACCTTAAGGAAGTCGTTGTTATTTCCAGAATCTCTGTTTTGGGTTTCTGGTCCTCTAAGCGGCGTTGGTTGGTCGTCCTTTTCCTTCTATGACTACGAAATATCGATTTATATTAGAAGGAAGTCTGCTTTGAGTGGATTAAGGGACCATACGTTTATTACGTCCCAGGGGGGGGTGGGGGTTTTCGGAAAGGGGTGTTGAATAAAAACTGTCCCCCCCCCCCCCCCCCCCCCCCACCAATTATTAACATATAACATTCTTTGGTTTACATCGCGTCACCCAAAATCACAATAAAAAAACAACCACTATTTTGTATTNGAAGAAATCACGCATTAGTAGGAAAACTCAAAAACAGATGTTTCTGTTGGTATCCGGCGGCCATATTGGTGTTCCTGAAAGGGACACCAACATGGCATTTCCATACAAAGCTTTATAAATTTAGGTAAACCGTTTTTCCCAATATCTCACATTTGAAATATTTCACAGACCTGATTCTTGGCAAGGGTTTTTGTATATTTATCTTTTTTCATTTCCCAGATTCTAGTCCTTCTGTATTGAATGGTTTGCATTTTTATTTTTCATTACGTGACAGTGCAAGCCGAGAATTGCACCCCCCCCTCCCTCCCCTTGGCAATAACAATTTTTAAAATTTTTCCGACTTTACTTTGAGTTCCATAACTATCATAATGATTTTATCATAGTCCAAATGCATGTGTTTACAGGGACGGTCCGGTCGATCTTTATACAACACGGTACCTGTAATGAGGGGTAGGGAGAAAAGATCATGAAGGTTAAAAGTGTTACACTATTGAGGTTAATGTTGATTGGTTCGATAACCCTAGGCGTGAATCCAAATTTTGTTAATGAAATATTTCGGAACACAGTGCCTGCGTTTTATTTTAGTGCAGAGTAATGTTACTTTCGTAGGTAGAAAGACCTAGAGTTGCGAAATGCTCCAAGATCTCCTTGTGTCAGGAGTCCTGGTTTGCGCAACAGGAAGGCAGGAAGAAGCTTGTGTGTGACAAATGTGACAGGGCTATTACCTTCGAGTTTTGATGTGATCTTCACTTATATCACCATTAATCTTTTCTGGTCTTTTATAAAATATCTGTTTAAAGAAAAGTGAAAGCTTGGCGGAAAGTTATTTGAAACAAAATTACTTCCACGCTTGTCACAGAAGGTTTGCCGTGTTCTTTCCTCTTCCGTCCTGTTTTTTCCGTGTCAAGACCGTGACTGTGAGCACGCTATGCTCAAGGTCACAAAATCAAGTTTCCCATGATCGAAGAAGAGTACCTTTGTAATCTTTTCACAATATTCTAATCCAAGAAGGTATACATCCAGAAACTTGCTTTCTGCCGAGCATTTAGCCCGTGTTAGACCGTGCCCCTGAGTGGCTGCGAGTCAGACAAGCTATATTTTGTGCGCAACGACATTTTCGTGTCCCTAGGCACTTAGCAATTGTAATCGAAAATAAAATGCCTTTAAGAGAATAAAATATTACCTTAAGGAAGTCGTTGTTATTTCCAGAATCTCTGTTTTGGGTTTCTGGTCCTCCAAGCGGCGTTGGTTGGTCGTCCTTTTCCTTCTATGACTTCGAAATATCGATTTACATTAGAAGGAAGTCTCCTTCAAGTGGATTAAGGGACCATACGTTTATTACGTCCCAGGGGGCGGCGGGGGTTTTCAGAAAAGTGTGGTGTATCAAAACTGTACCCCTCCCAAATAATTACATATGAAAATTGCACCCCCCCTCCTTGGCAGTAACAATTTTTAAAATGCACCTCCCCCCCATCCCCGACTAAGTCTCTTCTTCCATCCTTGGGCATTGATTTCAGAAGCTGTAAGGTGCCGGTAGTCATATGGCAGCGTAGCTTGAGATTTTGAAAGTGCACGCAGGGGAAGAAATTGAGTTAGCGCGCCGAAGGCGCCCCAAAATCGTACCTGGGGGAGTCTGGAGGCATGCTCCCCCAGAAATTTTTCAAGTGTAGCGTCTCGGAGATGCCATCTCCTGCGTTTTCTGCAAGACATTTTCAGTAAACAAGGAGGGAAAATGCAGTACTTAGTTGTTTATTTTACCCATCTATCTCTAGTGTTATCGGTAAGGTACAGACCGGCTTACGGCAAAAAAGGATAAAACAGTGGCACCATCAAGGACGTTACAAGTGGGCGAGATGTGTACCCTTCAGACGCGCAAACTCTGTTATAATGCCATCAATGTCAATTACGTCCTTGTGATGAGCTTTGTTATTGTTTTGTTTGTTACACCTTTCACCCGCATTTCGCTTCTTCCATTGGGATGGTTTGCGAATCTTTGGTGGTACATTATGAACTGGTTCTTCGATCCACTGTTCCTGTCATGTGGAAGGATTTTCTCTAACATATATAACTATTAACTTTCGCAAAGCTGCAATTCAAAACGTGTAATTGCTAGCCTTTTTACAGGGCGAGTATAACCCAAACTCAGTACACGACTGTAAAATAGTCTAAAGGAAAAGTTTTATCCAGCCTTCACTAAGATTTATCGTTTGTAACTGATTTATTAGTTGTAATAAAGACCTTGTTTGTTCCCGGATCAGAAAAAAACTGAAAATGATTTCCATTTTACTTAATTCATTAACTTTGGTATCTCTGTTGACTGTATTCATGTTTGTCCAGTTATAGAAAACTTTTTAATAGCAGATACCGGCTGATCTCCATTTGTCTAATCAATAGATGGAGAATTCTTATTGTTTGGCTGAAGTGGGGGTTTATTACTCTGGCTTCAACCATGTCATCAACATTAACCTTACATAAGACAGTGCACAGCATAATGTCCCTCTAAACTCCATACTACCACGAGTAACGGAATCATCGACAAGGCTAAGATATAATAGTAGCCTGCTACCTAAAGTAAATACCGAACGCTTCTCGGGTCCGTGGCTGGGGGCGCCTGAAAAACAAAAAAAAAATACCAAACGCTTCTAAAATAGTTTTATAAATAGGTTATTTTTAGTATAAACTAGTAATCTACCGTAAAATTCCGAAAAATAAGCTCCGGGGCTTATATTTTTCAAAGGCCCTTTTTGAGGGGCTTATTTTTGGAGGGGCTTATATTCGGAGGGGCTTATCTACGAAGGGAAATTTGCGTTTCAGAATCGATTGCGCTAGCCTTATAGTTGGAAGTGAATTTTATTTTAATACCGTTTTTGCTTTGTTTTACTTTGTATTTGAGGGCAATTTTCCAAGTGCAAGCCCCCGGGGGGCCTATATTTGGAGGGGCTATTTAACGGAAGGTTTTTTACGTTACCGGTTTGGGGGGCTTATATTTGGAGGGGCTTGTACAAGGAGAGGCTTATTTTCGGAATTTTACGGTAACTCTCTTTTATGTTTTTTTAGAAATTGTAATCGCTTGTTAGTTAGTATTTTAATAACTTATCCTCCATCATTGTAACTCAGTTTGATATGTATTTTTATCGAATGAATTAAAGACATTATTATTATTATTATTATTATTCCTTAGGTATGGAGGGGGCTTTCCATCTTTTTCCTTACGACTGGAATAACTAAGAAGCAATCTGGAGAGAAATTAATCTCTCGGATTGTCACAAAAGGTTGTAGTCTGTAATTTACAGACCAACTACTAATACCAAAAAACTATAGTTAATCCCTGAATCTTGAGTCGCCCGCGATCAGCTGCATGATGAAAGGTTTTGGACTGAGGATACCTAGTACCATGTTAATGTTATCCTTTGTAGTATTCCATCAAAATGTTTCTTTTAGACCAAGGTTCGCCCTCTGTTTAACGCCAAGGTAATTATGATAGGTCACGTCTCAATGCACAGTTTCACAAATAAAGTAGGTGCACACATCAACTTCCCACTTAAATGTTTCAGAGGGAGTTTGAAGCAAATTTGACGGTTCGAATCTTACTGGCACTGTATGCCTTTGCCA